TTTGATTGCACTGCTTGGGGACTTGAAAAGTGTTTATAAGCCATCCCTGTAAGCATGTTGTGTTGTCTCATTCGGTTCATATCAGATTATTCCCATCAGAGCTTGTCCCGTGTCTTGGCAAGGTTACAGATGATGAATGACTTCACTTTCAGTTCGTTTTTCATCTTGAGGACATATGCTGCCGTTCCTCCTGACTAATTCAACCCCTGACTTTTCTATACTCTATGCAGTTATTCATTTAGCTCTTTTTTTCTACCTTAATTGGAATCTCTCTATATTATTGTACATTTTCTGCCTCTTTCTGTCACATGCATAGTTTTCTGCAAGACTTTTCAGGCAGTTTTTTGTGTTGGTTTTGCTTTTTTGTCATTGTTTTCTCGCTGCTTATCTGAGCCCAGGCATCTTCATAATAAAGACTGGTTTGTATAAATGTTTTTTTCAGTTCTACGCATCTGCACATAATGTGTCTGTGTGCATATTTAGGCCTCATATAATAAGAAATAAACAAACATTTAGAAATACTGAGAAACTACATTGAGACACAACATCTGCAAATTGGTTGTTTCTGCAACAGCCAATTTAGATGATCAATGTTCTAAATATTTTCTTAGAAATTAATGAACCACTGGAATACCATACGATACCATAAATTATTGTCAAATTGCCATTTGTTGTAGAACAATCAATCTGAAAGCACAAGACGTTGAATCAAAAATGACAAAACCAGATTACATGACGAGGGGAAAAAAGTCATATTTGAGAAACTGCTTGTTTTTTACTAGATGAATTAATAACATGATAGAAAGTAAGGCTCTAGGTAGCAATTATAATTTATTATGATACAACTGAATATCCCCTTGTTATTTATTTGATTAATCATCAAATGATTCAGTTAATGAAGATTCAAAAATGGTGGAAAAATATATTGTTTTTTAGAGGGCAAACATGTCTCTGACTCAATGGAAATCGAAACATATATTACACAAACACAGGGCTCAACCAAGACAATATTAAAAATGTAAAAAGTGAGTCTCTGAAGGATTCTTTGCTTTTAAATATTTCAACAATTAACTAATAGTCATTCATTTTCCCACTGGACTCATTTAATATGGAACCAATATTTTGTTATAGTTAAAGGCGTTCAAATTAAAATATTCAATTAGCCCTTTCATCCTTCATCACCCCCAAAGAAATACATTTTTGTACACATTTAAACAGGACCACACTCAATCATCCTGCAATCATCAGCATAGACATGAGTAAAAAAAAAAAAAAAACAAAAGAGAAAAACAACAAAAAAAACCACAGTGTGCTTTCATATGAATCCGCAATAATCTTCACTAGTCTGAATGGGTCAAAGCGACTCAACATGGATTAATAACAAGGATTAGTGAGACATAAACTGCAGCAGAGGCAAAAGAAAAAGGGACAGAACGACATATTTATTTGAGTCTAAATCTACAAGTATACAGTTGTGGTCAGAGGTCTACATACACTCAGTGGATATCACAGCAATTTGGGCTTTTAGTGATTTCTGTGAACTGTTCTTCTTCCGGCGAGGAATAGTTTTACAGTACTAATGAGTGGGGGGGGGGGAAGGAATTCGGTGCACAAATTTGTGTTTAATATGAATTTTATCTAATCCACAAAGTAGTATACGTATAATGTTGACCAAGTATTGAATAGGAAACTTGTGGTCCCCATTAAAAGATATGTGTAGTACAATCATTCCGCTCTGGAAAAACAGTTCAAAGAATTCGTTAAAAGGTTTTTATGCTGGAGCTGTAGAAGCATTAAATGCTGCAATAACAATATCCACATGAATGTGCTCCGTGCCATAAACGGTGTGTGCAATTTCAGATTGTATGTTATAAGTATTTATATAGTTTATAGCTTTATATTGTTTTTGTGATGAAGATTGCATTTAATTTAATTATATATGTTAAAGTTTATAAATACAAAACAGATATTCTCTTTTCTTCTAAAAGCTCAAAACTACCGTGACATTCGCGGCCAAGTTGAGTGTTTATAAAAAATCTGACCACAACTAGGTCTACATACAGTGTAATCAGTAATTATATAACATTTCATAACTCTCGAGTAATTTTGCTGCTGCTTTGATATCCTGCTTTATGGACCAAAAGGCAGCTGTGCTTGTTTTGTCTTTTTAAGAGTTTATTTTTTGCCAGTAAAACAGCTGAACCATCTGCAGAGTTTAGGGGCATCAAAGGTCCTGATGAAGCGCTTATGGGGAGTTCATCTTTGAGATTCTAGTAATCAAGCAGGCAGTTCTATCACAAGGAAGGCAGAAGAAAGAAACAAGACAGCGAGGAGCAGACAAAAGCTCAGGCAGAAAGAGGCAGACAGTAAAGACAAGCACCTCTTTTAAGCTGCTCCATAATAAAGCATGAAATAGGCTGGTTAAGTCGTGGCTCTGGCACGGACACTAGTCCACTTCAGAGAGCTACATCCTCAATCAAAGAAGAAATGCAACAACAAAGATGTACTCTGTGCACAGTATAATTGCTTTCATGTCCACAAAAACAGAAGCATCTGGGTGTTAAACAAATTGAATGCGTCGAAATTGTAGTTGTGCATAAAATTTAACACCCACACTCCCTCCAAATCAAAAGAATCCAGCAGAGTGGACTGCAATGCACTGACCTGAACTACAAATAAGACAAAATACAGACAGACACTGAAAATCTCAAGGCCGAGCTTGTCAGTAAAGGTAACCCGAGCCGTTATGTTGCCATGAGAATAGGGACAGTGAAGTCCTATCACCTCTACAAGAAGGTCGACAAGCAACACAGCAACCTCTCAGGTGGCAAGAGTGGCTGCCTGACAAGTAGGCTGGCCCCAGAGGAAAAGCCCATGTCGGTGACAGCTTCACTTTACCCTAGGAGATATTTGTGCCTGTCTGTGTCCTGTGTGAGAGTCCTGGAGTGAGTATGTCTGACAGCTACACAGGAAAAAAACACTATTGTGTTGAACCGTTGACATCATGAATGTATTGGTTGTTTAGACCAGTTTGGCACTAGTCTAAAAGCTGTGAATTTAATGTGCAGGCAGAAAACCGACCCATCAAGCAACTGATGCACTTTAAAGATTCCATTCATATTGAAGCAGAGGCTTAAAAATCAACTGCTGAATAGCAGAATTTATAATAATAATAATAATTCTCCTCAAAATACATTTCGCTATTGCACAGAAAAATAAAGTAATTGAGAAATTAAGCTGAACTTTAACCAGATGAGACATGTGTACTCAATTGCTACTGAGCATCTACAAGTTTGTCCTCCCCTGAGAGGCTATTCATCCGCACTCAGAGTAACCTTAAGAAGCCAGCGCCTGGAAAGAACAAGGTCAGTATGTCATAATGAAATGCAAGTAATACCAACAGGCTGATAAGCATTAAATGAAAAAAGCTCATTTTGTGGTTGAAAAAAAAGAGATGCCAATTTGTAATTAGGCTAAATTAAAAAACACTTACAACATGCAGCTGAATCAGAAGAAAGGAACAGAGCAGTGCACCACAGTTTGCAGAAGCATCAGTATGGTTGACTGTCCTTCGTAGCTTAAAAAGAATCCAGCCAGCTGTGTTAGTTTCTTGGCTAATAAGCGGAGGTGGCCAGGTCACCTAGCTACCATTACAAGTTGCTAATTAGGTCAAATTGATCCTCAGTCAAATTGAAGGAGGCACTCAAGATTCATATTACCTGGCTGCCTGTAAGACAAATCTCTTCTTTCTCACCAAGAGGGTGAACACTGAGCCCCCATCTTTTAATTTTCATCTATTAGTACCACCATTTTTTCCTAGATTAATCATTATTTGAATTTTGAAAACAAAACAAAACAAGGGGACAACGTTGGCTCACACAGTTACATGGATAATTAAACATAGATCTAGGGGGGGAAGTGTGCACACAAAATGTAAATAATAAATGCCCATCATTATTATTATTATGCATGACAAAACCACTGCAACTCTTAATATTGTTGAAAAATTAAATCTTGTTCAAAAAAGGCTAAACCCACGCTGATGTGAAAACAAGCATGTTCTGTTGGTGAACTTGTCTAATTAAAATTCACATTACAGTTCAGCTCCAACGCAGACTGTGAGTTTCCATGTCTCCAATGTCTCAAAAGACAGAATGTCCCCAGTGCCGCTTTCAAAACACGAGGATACGTTCTGTCTTGCTTGTACTTACAGATGTGCATGCCATAAAAACTAATGATTCTATTGTGTGTCTTAAAGGATTCCCTATATCGTACAAACAAATCTACACTGCATTTGTGTATTTAATCTCTGTGTATGTACACCTATGTAATCATTCATTGCTCAACTACTCCAACTTGCTTTAATTTCAGAAGACACCTAATTGCAATTAAGATGCATGGGGTGTTGAGCTGGGAAGTAAAAGGAAGTAATCAGTGCTGATTATAGAGCCAGAGCCTGATCAGAGTAAATCATATACTGACTGTACGTCTCCTCTGTGCCCGCCTGAATCGGAGTCGGGAATGAGACGGAACAGAGCCTGTTTTTAGTGTGATTATGTCCATGGCAGCACTACAGACTCCAGCTCGCTGCCAGATTTGAAAGGATTATGCCGCGTGTGACACCATGAGGTTGACCTAATCTTGTGGAGAGACACACAAAGATAATTTATGGGTCACATCGGACATGAATCTTTCCAATATGTTTTCCAGCTTTTAAATTTATAGTTTCCCCACCAGTCTCTTTAGTTTCAGTTTATGGGTTTGTTTTGCAAACTGTTCTATATAAAACACAAAGTGCTGCTTATGTATGTGGAGTTTGATTTGTGTATGTAAACACAGGACCTTAACGAAACTCCGAGTCTAGCTGTCTAGGTCTGCATTCTGAGCGCTGCCAAAATGCGAGGGTTCTGAAAAACTGGTAAAGACATTATGCAACTAAATGTACTTTTTGAATTCTGTATGTTTAAATGAAAATTTGCAAGTATAATAAATCACTTCCCCTGTTTATTTGATGTTAAATGATCCAAGCTGAAATGCATAAGGACATATTGATCTAGCGATGCAGAAGAAGCATGGTGATCTGAAACAGTCAAAACATTTCATGGCAGCATTCAGGTTATAGTTTAAATATGTAAACAGACGGTCTTTGAGGACGGTGTTTTTAGGTACCACCTTTTCATATAATGCTTTTTCTTGTACATCAGTTGAATGAAAAGAGTGCACAATATTTTCTTTGCTATGCTCCACACATACATCAGGAGACTATACCATCTCAATGTAGTTGCTAATGAGAAACTTCACTGAAACATTTGGGGAATGAATGCCTTGCTCAAGGGTTTTGACAAGTTTGACTGTGAGTAGAGTCACACATTCATTCTTTCTCAGCCTTATCTTTACTTTATCTATGTATTCAGACTCACTTCTATTACATCAGAGCCCCGGGCCATAGAGGACCAATTTTTTAGTGTGAAAATCCACATGGAAAGCTTCAATCCTGGCTTTAGTCACACCATTTGTTAGCAGTAATGAGGGCAGATGAGAACTGTAGCGTTTTGCAGATTGTGAACATTGGCTATCCAACAGTGACACCTACTGGCTAATAAAGTCAAAATTAATCATTTCAAAAGACATGTCTGATTTTATTTGATATTAATTAATGTAACATTAATTCATATTAAACACACAAAAAGGGATTTAGACTTAGTAGACAATTTCTTAACATTAAGATAAGTATTTATATAAATGTCAGATGATCACTGTACTCCCACTTACATAATTCAAACACACATTGGTAATATTACATCCAAACTAATTGTAAAATAGCTAAAAATTCTTTTCTTAGTGACATGTCAAATGCTCATGATGGTTCATGTTCTTTGCTTCTGTACTTGACTTGAGATGTAAATGAGGAAATACTCTATGTATAAAACAAATGCAAATAATTACAAGCATGATTGGTGCATTAAAGGTTTTGGCATGCAGGGCTCGCAGAACAAAGACTTAACATCTGTGGAGCAAATCTGTTAGAAGAAACTCGAGAATAGGAAAACCCACACAGAGCTCTCTTATTGATGTCTTAATCGAGCAAGAAATTTTCCTGGCAGTACTCTTTAAAGTTGAACTCCTCAACAGTGAAAGGTACATCCTTCCACTTCTTCACTGGGAGCCGCTCTTGACCAGGGCTCTCCAGAACAAAGTTCTTAATGGCTAGATTTGGCAGTATGGCACACTTCTTGTACTTTATTTCATTTCCCCATTTCTGTAAATTTACACAAGAACAACACTCAGAATCCAACACGAGCATGAACGTAACATTATGTTTTGTTTTTATTTGAAGAGGGTACCTTGCTGCATATTTTACAGCTGATTGTACACCCAGGCTCCCAGTCCTCAAAGCTTCTTTCTAGAGTCAGTTGGTCTCCAAATGTATAGTGTTTCCTGAGGACAAACCAAAAGAAAAGATATTTTACTTTGTCCCCAACATGCTTTTGCGTTAACTCTTAGATCAGAACATATTTAACTCACTTAAAGTCAGGGTTGACGTTGACGTACATGTTCTCAACTAGCTTGATGTCACTGCCAGAAGCCACAGGGGCAAAACAGCTTCGACACAAGAGCTGGATACTGGAAGCAGTGTTACGACTCCTCTTCTCTGCTTGGCGCCTCTGTTCAATTTTGGTGCAAGTGACTACCATCTCTTGAAGCTGAATAATCTGGAGACAAGGAAGAATGGAAGGTGATGTTAATACCACGGGGCTGTGAAATGTATTAAGGACTGGTAGAGTATATACGCTCACCTTTGTGCAAAAGTCTTGAGGGGTCATAGTTTGCACACGGTCAATGGCTTTACCAGTCAGCTCCTCCAGATATTCATTCATGCGCTCTCGGCAATCTTCACGCCCGCCTGCTTGGGCTACGACTGCATACTGACTGTTTTCTGCTCGTGCACGTCCACTTGCCTGCTGCTGGGCGATCTCATTAGTAAGGAGTCCGTAGCGCACCACCAGGTTGCATTCAGGTATATCAAGACCTTCTTCAGCCACACTGGTGGAGATCAGGAGGTTCAGAGAACCCATACGGAAATTCCTGATTGTTTCTGCCTGTTCATTCTGTAAGAAATATGCAAATAAAAGCATGGAAACATGCAGAAATGTCCATAGAGATGTTACTGAATGTGACTGACTCAAAGCTTATAGGCGAAGACTGTATATCATCATACCTGTGTCATGTAGGTGTTACCATTACCAGCGCCGATGAGGATGTCTGCCTTGATGCCAGCTTCCTGCAATGCCCTGTTTTTGAGGACCCAGTCTTTCAGGCATTGGGTGCTTTTACGAGTTTTACTGAAGATGATTGCCCTTGATGGGTCACCTGACCCAAACTGTTGTAACAGAGTGCTCTGAAGTTCATCCATCTTTGGGTTATCAAAGCGAGAATCCATAGCAAGGTTCTTTAGCTCCACCTGATTCTCTATGTGCCACAAAATAGTGACGCAAGTGATGGTTATATTTGCTGAAACCATGAAAATGTGGATTATAATGAAAATATGAGGACTCTCACCTTCAAAAAGTTCCAACAGGAAGGTGTCTGTTCCATCAATGGGATTGTTTCTCTTTTTGGAGTAATACTCCTCTAAGGAGCGATAAGCATCAATCATCCGTAAGGTGTCATTGATGAGGAGGGCATCATTATATTGCCTTAGGTGTAACGCACATTGTGCAAGCAGCCTGTTTTTCTCCTGTACGCCTGGTCAAAGAAACAGATGTAAGCAGAAGCATTGTTTCATCTAAAGATTTACTTACTCTAATTAATTCTATGAAAAAATATGCTCAAAACAAAATCACGTTACAAGGTTAAAAACTAAGTCTGTACCTCGTTGCTCTAGATTCACCACATCTGCCTCATATTCTTGCGTTCCGCACTCTTTAAGTCTGAAGTCTGGGGGAAGGTTCATGTGACTGTGGATGCTGTTCATCATCGATATCAGATGATCACGAAACGGATCCTCAAAGAAAAACACGTGTTTGTGTTTACTAGCAGATACTGTTTTTCAACAAGTGGTTGTTGTCCTGAGGCCAGCATTTGTATGATACCTCTGGGACAGCAACTGCTTCAGCCAATAACATAATATTATATTAAATATAAAAAAATGTTTACAGTCTGATACTACAGGGTTATTTTTTATTATATATTAAAATGTGCATTTGCTTCTTAGTTTAGTATTTTTCCATGATTTGTTTAAGATATCTAAACTTAATATGTGTGTGATAGCTAAGGGTCTCTGCTACAATGCAAGTTCAGCATACCCATGATAGCTTAACTGGTTTCACTAACTAACGTCAGTGGTAAAGCAAATGTGTTAAACAGGCCATTAAGTCAAACCTGAGTTTCCCAATGTAAAAGCATTTTCATGGGAAAGGCATGTTGTTGGCAACATGTGAGCAGTCAAAAACACAAACAGGTTTACAAGCAGCACAGTGAATTATTTCACAAAGAAAGGGAAAGTGGTAAAGCTCTGTCATTAAAACGCTGGAAGATCTGATAGATTATTTCTTTTTTTTTTCTTTAGATGTGCACTAGAAAACTTTACCATCGTTTTTTTCTAAATGAGCAAGTAAAGAATACATACAAAAACATTCAAATTTAGAGTTATCTTGCAATTTTCATATAAGATCAACAAGGTTAACAAGTGCTCTGTTTGTGTTTCATGCCAAGAAGTGATGTTAGGAATGGGAATAGAAACAAAGATAATAAGGGAAAAACATAAACTTTATAGAAGGATACGAAATATTTATCCCATATCTGGCAATTTCTTTTTTATTACAGCAAATGAAAAACAGCTTCTAGTGCTACTGTCACTACAACAACAACAACAACAACAACAACAACAACAACAACAACAACAACAACAACAATGTGTTGTTTTTATAAATACAAGAAAATTGTAATTTTCGTATTTCAAATAAATGGTCTTATTGAAATAAAAACAGGTATAAAAATATGCTTACTTTAAGTCTTTCTTTTACAATTTTGAAGCTTTTTCTGGGTTTGGGCACCACTTCCTTCAGTTCAGATGCATATTCTTTAGCTGAAACTATGACTGAGTCCAAGTTGGCACAAATCTGAAAGGAGGAGCATTTTCAAGCAAAGCCAGCTAATTAAATAGAGATAAATTATATAAAAAGCTCAAATAAAAAATGAATCCCTGACCTCCAGTACATGCTCCACAGCCTTTTCCAGGGTCTTTGCGCCTCCTGTTCCTGGGGATGCTGTGAGGCCCAAGATCTGTGGCAGTGGTTTTTCTCCCTTCAACTTTTTCTCCACATAGAGTCTCATTACTTTGTTGTAGGCTTCCTCCTTCTGAGTATGGTGGCACTCATCAATTATCAGCAGAGTAATATCTGTAGAAAATCCTCAAGTCAGTTCATTTCAGCATAAAAGCATAATCAGACATGTTTAAGCTCACTTTGACTCACCTGAGAGCTCGACATGTCTTGCTTCCTCTTTGTTAATCAGAGCGTTGTACAAGATCTGTGCTGTGCAGATGACTACTTGTGACTGCTTCACCACTAACCCAAAAAAGTCCTTTTCCTTATTCTCTCCACTGACTTTCTTAATAATGAAGGTACCACCCAGGTGAGGCTCAAACTCTTTGTTGTAGTGTTGGTCAACAAGATGAACCTGAATTATAGAGCACATCAAAAACATTATATTTAGTCACCTTTAGTCACAGCAGATGTATAATAGTTTTTATTGTCTTAAAAATTAAATCCCCTCTTTCTACTTTAGGTACCTTGTTTACGAGGACCATCACTTTAGCATTTGGTTTGGTCTCCAGGTGTTTTTTGGCCACATACACTGCAGCGCGGGTCTTTCCACCTCCCGTCGGTAACCATATTATGATGTTCTCTCCTTTAAGAGCCCTTTCAACCACTTCCTGCTGGTAGTTATGCAGTCTACAATCTGCCATTTCGCAGTGCCCTTTTGTTCAGTAATATTTTTGCGTGGCATAGAATACAGATACTGTAGAAGAGAAATGGACACCCAGTTGTGACTTCAAACTCTTAGCCTTAAAAGTCTGCTGGAGCAAAGCTAGTGACAAAACAAACAGAAAGAAAGTCAGCCTTCTGAACTCACCAGTGACGAAGCTCTGTGTAGTTTTGTCTCTTTTTCAGCCGTCACAAGACAGTTGCAAGCTGGTGATGTTTTCAATTTTGTTTGGACTGCCCATGTCACGTGGAAACTGGAAAATGAAACTTATCTGAACTCAGAAAGTTGGCCCTCATGAGGGAGTCTCTGGATGAACAGAAGGTGATTACTAAAATACCTACTCTTAACTCGCTCTGCCTATTGTTTTTAGTTTTGCTTTCCTCATGTAACAAACAGCTTGTTAGTGTTGCAAAAAAAAAAAAAAAAATCCCCTTGTCTGTTTTAATGTCAGCTCACGTAACTTGATCTCTACCCTCTGGCAAAAGAGCTTCAGCAGTATTTGGTTTCAGTTTCCTTTCATTGTGTTACAGTCAAATTCTTCAGCTTTACAATGTAGTCTAAATGTTTATAGATCTAAACCATAAAAAACTAATTTCAGCTGTTAGTTGACAATGACATTTTCTAAAGACTGAGCTCAAATGAAACATCTAAATTTGAGATAATCAATGTATGCACAATATCATATTTTTGTAAACTAATTTGTAGTATTACATCTAAGTGCACTTTAAAATGACTACAATGGTTCATGGAAGTTCATCTTTTTGATTACATAAAGTGTACACGATGGTTAAGGTTCATGTTAGAGCAGGAGATGGTTTTATCATTTGCTTCTGTGCTGGACTTGAGAGGAAAGTGAAGAACTCCTTACAACAACATGCAAAGGGGATGATACAATGGCCGTGGTCTGGGTTCAATTCAAACGTCCAGCTGCAAAATGATTAACTTGCATTTTCTTAATGAAAATAGGCTCACAAACTCCAGTAGATTGCAAAAGAAAAACCCCTTTCCTCCCTTACAGGGGTCTCAATTGTGAGAACGTCATGCTGTTAACAAATATTTATTTCTCTTTCAGTGTTTTCCTTCCACCCTGAATCTCCAAAGAAAAATACATAGTCACTGTGGATAGGGCTGTAAGACAGTCTTCTTGTACGTTATCCTATTCCTGTGTATTTACATAAGAACAACACAATCCCTAACTATGGATCTATTTGCACTAGGGCTGCAACAGAAGACTATTTTGGTAGTCGACTAATCTGCCAATTTTTCTTTGATTAGTCAACGAGTATTTCAATAACTCTTATCTTCGCTTCCTGTAGGCAAACCTGTTCTAGGGTATCTCACCTGCTCAGGTGATTAGCTAGCATATCCTGAGAAGTTTCCGACCGGTAAGCTAACATAAACATGAACATAAACATTACTGTACAAGCATTAACATGGAATTACTGTACAAACGTTAACATAAACACGGTCAACGCAACGCACTAGCTCTCTCAAACTGACCCATTCAGAGTTGACGTCACAGCTCCAGGGTGCTTCCTGTGACTGCGGTCAAGTGAGCCCTCACACACGAAGTCAGGTCAAGCTAGCCGCACCGCCAGCCGCACCTACAATCGTATTGCACTTTTCTTCCGTATATTACGGTACGGGTGCCGACTGGCTTAGAAGCACTTCTGGATACTTGCATTTTTCCTTTTCTCAATTCTCAAGTACGCGAGTCCGTTCTCATTTTAGACTGCAGGACCAGCAGCTGATGCTGTGTACAAGTATGGGCATCATCAGTGACAGAGATGCCAAAAGGAAGAGCAAATTCATCTGCAAGGTTAGAAGCAGCACTGGTGGGCGAAGGTCAGAGGTCACTGAACAAATGGCTCTCCATTATAGACACCCCATCACACCTGCTTCATTCCACCTTTGTAAAGCAGCATAGCTTCTTCTCCCTCTAACTGATTCAACCTTTCAGCCATGAAGTACACGTCAGGAAATCATTCCTATTGTTATGTCTGTAAAAGTGTACAATAACTCTTCGGTATGTGGCACGATCAATACAATGTCTGTGCCTTCACCTGGAGACTGGCGGTCCATCACACAAGGATTCCAGGAGTGCTGGAACTTCCCTCTCTGCTGTGGAGCTCTGGATGGGAAGCACGTCCAGAAAAAGGCCCCCCATACATCATATAGGAGACACACACATTAATATACACTAAATATTTATTTCATTTCTTTTTTTGTGGTGCCCAAATTTATGTACCTGCTTAAATTTTCTTTAAACAATTATTGCACACTTTTTGTAAATCCAGTAAACTTCTTTTCACTTCTCAAATATCGCTGTGTGTCTCCTATATGATATATTTAACTGACATTTTTTATTGTAACAACCAACGATTTATACAGGAAAATAATGGCTATTAACAAGGTTGCCCAAACTTTTTTGCGGTGTGAACACACCATAGAATCCAGTGAAATATTCACGTCACCTTTAACAATTTTCTTGTTATAAAATTTAAAAAAATACCCAATATCAAAAATACAGCATAGCAGTTTAGTTGGGGATAAGGTCAGGTTGAACAAAAATATACAGTATAGTGAGAAGACAAATGTATTGTCAACTCTTACCGAATTTGTAATTCTTTTTATTCTTTTTAACGTGTAGTGTAATAATTATATATTAATGTATGTCATATAAATACATATATATATAGCTAATATTTCAAATCTCGAAGTGGATTAAGAAGTAAAATAGTGAAAAATGCAAGACTGTTTCTAACCCAGTCGGCACCCGTACCGTAATATGTGTATGAAAAGTGCAACAGGATTGTATAGGTGCAGCTGGCGCCAGGGCTCACTTGATCGCAGTCTTCCTGTAGTGTACTGCAGTGTAGTATACCTTGTATTACAAAAACATATTTATTAGTATTAGTATGAAAAGTAGACAGTATAATTATGCGTCTACAAATTTTTATAGTCGACGTCATCGATTATGTCGACAAATCGTGCAGCCCAATTTGACACTAGTGTTTAAAGTATTATTAAATTATAGTATTATTATTATAGTATTATTAAACACAGTATTAAAGTCTGTGCCCTGTTTAAATTACTATATCTGATTCTACATCCAGGCGCCCAGTTCCCAAAATGTTAGAAATGTTGACGTTCACTGACCTGAGAGCACAACATGTCTTAATACCTCCTTGTTAGTCAGAGCATTGTATAAGAGCTGTGCTGTGCAGATGAAAGGCTCTGACGTCTGCACCAGTAACACAAAGAAATGCTTCTTATTGGTCTCTCCACTGACTTGGTCCAGCTCTTTGCTCTCAAACTCTTTTCTTCAGGATTGGCCAACAAGACAAACCTAAATTATGGGTTGCATTAAATAATAACTTGTCATCATCTTCAGCTAGAGAAGTTTGACATAGCCAGGCTTTCTGCTTAGGGCTCTGTGTGCACTCAGAGGAAATAAAGCATTTGATGGATCATTTTACACTTCTTCTGCACAAAAATGACAGATTTGACAGATGCCTAGTTCAGAGACATTAGGAGTCAGTCAAATAAAGATGTATAAAGAATATTTACAGCTAAAGCCAGCACTGGTGTTGCAAATAAGTCAAGAGAGCTGCAGACAATCAGTAATAATTTGAATTAATGAGTTTATAGATTTGTTTTACGACTCAGTAATAAATTACATCTAAACTTAAGCTCTAAAATAGATCTAATAAAGATTCAGTGTTCAGACCTGATACTATCCCACTGCTTATTGAAGGTTAAATGCCTCATCCGTGGTCAGATCACAGCAAAATATATATTTTTTGACTTATCCTTGGGAATAAGTCTGCTTTAAACAGACTTTATAATTGTAAAACATGTATGCCTTACTCCAGTGTGACAAATTGCAATTTGAAACAATCATATCGCTAATGTATATCAGTTATATGGTGTTAAACCACAACAGTTAAAATACATAACTATGTATTGATCCAGTAATACTGAGGGTGCATCCCCAGGTGTTAAAACATTTCATTAAAGTCTCTGAAGTCAGCATTTTCACATATCCTTTTTTTTATTTTTTTTATTTATGTAACAGTTTTATACAGACATATAAACAGAAATATATATTTTTATATCCTCATCTCAGCAAATAATGTGTGTCTATTCAGTCAACTGAATGCACATCTCTTTTACAGTGGTTGCCTAGACACATCAGAAGGCTGCACAACCGTGCTCCTGACGTGGATAATACCATAATTTATAGAAACAGTTGGGGATTAAATGCCTTGCTCATGAGTCTGTCATGTTTGACTGTGACCTGTAAGTCATTCATTCTCAGTATATTTCCACATTATCTGCAGATTCAGACATTTCCATTACATCCACATCTTTCAATGTGAAAATCCTCGTGGAAAGCTTTAATCCTGGCTTTATGAAAACATTTCTTGTGCTATCCAAGACTGACACCTACTGATTAATAAAGGCAAACTTATGAAAAATCAATCATTTCAAAAGGAGCATTTGTTTAAATTAATCAAATTTAGATTTAGTTTAAAAATTTATATGCTACAATATAGAAAAAATAAAAAGGATGATTTCATCTGTTAGTGAACAATGATAATTCTTAAGATTAGGCTCTCATAAAACATCTGATTTAGTTACAGAAATTGTCCACAGTGTCAGACTTCATACACACATCAGCAGCATTACATCTGAACACGTTTTAAAATAGCTAAAACAGTTCATGTTAATTAATCTCCTCTTGATGGCATGTCACATATTCATGATGTTTAAGGGTCATGTTATAGAAGAACGCAAATGAACTCAGGCACTGGGCATAAACGAAGCATTCACTAATTGCTAATTATAAACATGACTGATGCACTAAGGTTTTTAGCTGCCTTAGGCACCACGGAACAATGACCGAGCATATGTGGAGTGAATTTTTCAAGTCTGTGTTCATGCAAACATCCAACCATACAACAGTATGGTTTTCTAAAAGAAACTGGAGTCTCAAAATCAAGTAAAGTGCAGAAGAAAACCACACAGAGCTTTCTGGTTCGTGGCTCAATCAAAGAGGTCAGGGAAGTTTTCCTGGCAGTACTCTTCATAGTCGAAGTCCTCAACAGTGAAAGGTACATCTTTCCATTTCTTTACTGTTATCCTGCCTTTGGGGGTTTCCAGGGCAAAGTTCTTAATGGCTAGATTTGGCATTAAGACATGCTTTTTGTATTTTATCTCGAATCCCCATTCCTGTGAATTTGTATAAGAATAACAGTCAGATTCCAACATGAGCATGAACTGCGGATCTATTTAGATACAGTATTAAACAGTGAGTTCACTGTACCTTGTTGCATTTTTTGCATCTGATTCTACACCCAGGCTCCCAGTCCTCAAAGCTCCTTTCTAGAATCACCCGCTCTGCAACTTTGTAGTGATTCCTGAGGACAAACAAGAAGCAACGATATTTTTATTTGGTCTCAACATACTTCTGCTTTAACTCTTAGATCAGAACATCTTTAACTCACTTAAAGTCAGGGCTGACGTTGACATATTGCGTATTGTCAACAAGTTGAATGTCACTGCCAGAAGCCACAGGGGTAAAACAGTTTCGACACAAGAACTGGATACTGGAAGCAGTATTACTCCTCCTCTTCTCCGTTTTGCAGCTTTCTTCAATTTTACTAGAAATAATTGCCTTTCGTTGAAGCTCACTTAACTGGAATCACAGAGGAATGGACGATAATATTAGTAACACTAGGCAGTGAGAGCGAGAGCAGTAAGTTATGGCTCGGTAGTGTCCTTAAACATCACCTTTAAGTAAAACTCGTGGTGACTCATACGTTGCACACGGTCAATGGCTTTACCAGTCAGCTCCTCCAGATATTCATTGATGCGCTCTCTGCGATGTTCACGCCCGCCTGCTTGGGCTACGACTGCATACTGACTGTTTTTTGCTCGTGCACGTCCACTGGCCTGCTGCTGGGCGATCTCATTAGTAAGGAGTCCGTAGCGCACCACCAGGTTGCATTCAGGTATATCAAGACCTTCTTCGGCCACACTGGTGGAGATCAGGAGGTTCAGAGAACCCATACGGAAACTCCTGATTGTTTCTGCCTGTTCATTCTATAAGAAATATGCAAATAAAAGCATGGAAACATCCAGAAATGTCCATAGAGATGTTACTGAATGTGACTGACTCAAAGCTTATCGGTGAAGACTGTATATCATCATACCTGTGTCATGTAGGTGATGCCATTACCAGCACCAGTGAGGATGTCTGCCTTGATGCCAGCATCTTTCAATGCCCTGTTTTTGAGGACCCAGTCTTTCAGGCAGTGGGTGCTTTTGCGAGTTTTACTGAAGAGAATTCCTCTTGATGGGACACCTGACCCAAACTGTTGTAACAGAGTGCGTTGAAGTTCATCCATCTTTGGGTTCTCAAAGCGAGAATCCATAGCAAGGTTCCTTAGCTCCACCTGATTCTCTGTGTGCCACAA